AAAAAAAAACAACTTGGATATAAAAAAACCAATAAACCAATTATTTGCTACATATCACTCACTTACAATAAACTTTGACACGCATAAATTAGAAGGGAGGAAAAGAGACGCTTATTCTTTTGAGACAATCCACTTCCAGAATTGGAAGTTACTTTTTCATAAGGCTAAAAAAACGATATTTACTGCTTGGGCCATGATCATTTAAAAACCTAGAAGTAAACAAAAATTGCGTGTGAAGCAAAAAAGGGTTGAAACTTTAAAATGGCAAAGAATTTCCCCTCTACCAGCTGATAAATTGCGCGTCATTGATGTGTAGCTGCATTGTAACTGCCCGTACAGAATGTCACGAACATGGCGTGCTCCAGCTCATTATCTCGCAACATGTCTGATTCTCTGCAATCATCAATCAATCACTAGTTTACCTTGCGCCTGTCGCGATGTCAGAACATCGCGAACCTCGTAACATTCTCGTATCCTCCTAACAACGCCCGATGTTGCGAGGTGTTCGTACCGCGTCAGGCTCGCGTGTTGAGATACGGCACAGTGCGAGATAGCTGGATCTAGCACAAGCCACACTCTTCACAAGTTGCGACCTTGATGTCGTAACATACAGGGAGTTTACTACCACCTCAGGTTTCCGTGAGACCATACCAGAACAGCTATATTCGAAGCAGGACGCGAGCTTTTTCCCTGAATGATTGTGTCTAATCGAATACTAAACCAGGAGAATTTAGGAAACGGCGAGAAAACCGTTGCTGGTTTACCGGATACCCTCTGACGTAATGTCCGCAGGCAGAGGTCTAACAATGCCGGGAGCAGATCATATGTTCTTACAGTGATAGATCAATTTGTTGAAATTGAAGAAGGTAAGACATTGGAGGAGGAACTGCGGTCAACAAAATTTGACATCCGTGCTCTATACAAGAATATTAACATCACAGCTTCTGCGCCTTCTATCTCACGCTATTACTCGAAACGCGCGTATATACAACAGCAGCCGGCCACGAATGGAGAAATTGATAAAGAGGAGTTGATATTCTGGTTAACAGCGTCTTTATCGCTTCGAGAACGTAAGTTTTTTCTTCCTCGTCATCCGGATTCATTTTCGTCTTTATGAATGCGAGTTACGACAGCATAACTTCCTTGGCAAGACAGCGAAGACGAAAACTTCTTATGTGAATTGAATTGTGAACGGATCCGCGAAAACGCTATATTCACATTCTAAATGGCAATCGTATTTGAAGAGATGAGCCAGAAAGTGCCCGATCAGAAACAAATGTTTTGGAACCGATAGTGAAGGTAAGCGCTGACTGTGCTCGCCGGACCAAAAAAGACTATAGTGATGAATTTATTGTTTTAAAAATTTGAAAAGTGTCCACGAACCTGGCACTCCCGACTAAGCGATCATTGGAGGAGGTAGATTGTGAGCGAAGTTTGCATATAATAACAAGCGTGATGTTTTCAACACTATCAATGCTGCAGGTGATCATGATTAATCCGGCCTGACCTGAACATCCGCACTGCTTACATCACTCCCTCCCCCCACCCTTCTCCTCACCCTCCTCCCTGCTGCTCACCGTTACCGTGAGATCAAACCGAATGCAGCAATGCTCAATGCCTTCATATCATCGCAATGTCATCCCTCAATTCCTGAAGCTGGTAACCTTTTGTCGATTGCAATGCTCTTCGAGGCTGCGCTTATGTTCCAATGGGATGAAAACAACTACAGCGCTCATCCGATTTGGGCGCTTCTCTAAAGACGCGGACTGAAGCACGAATTGAAAAATTACCAATGCTCAAATCATTTGCAGCAGTGCATAAAGCAGCCCGATGGTCAATGAAAGATATCTTTGTTACCGTTTTGTCCTCAAACGTGCTATTCAGTGTACTCGTATTAAACATAATCGTCCTGAGCTCGTCCTACAGAACAGAGTTTTTAGTCAGTTATACTGACCATATGGAACACTATCATTTCCAGTGAGGCCGTTTCTTTTTGTTTTTTCAAATAAACTTACGCAATCGCAGCATCCCCTTCCAGCCCTTCCCTTACAAATTCATCACATTCAAAGAAGCCGAAGAATACGAGCCGTAGCTTCAAAAATTGACAACTCCAGCCCCGGTATGTACGAAATTCGGGTCAGAACTACAAATTATGGTGTAGAAGTTGTTGCACCATGACTTACAAATATCAGCAACAAGAAGTTCAAAAAGAATCATTTTATAAAAGCAAGTTATGATATATTTACACTTATAACTACCGTCTCATCTCCCTCCTTCATAAGCAGGAGCTTTGACGTATCGAATAGAGGAAAAAGTTTGCAAACGCCAAAGAGTCGTGCAATGCCTCTCGGAGTCCTCTCAAAGCTTGACCACTTGAAAGCCATCGGCATTATCACTGAGAAGACACTTGGATATTATTCACCAGTAGCCCTTGTTTTCATTGACTTCAAAAAAACGTTTGATATGGTTGTTTAATTCAATAAGGAGGAGAGGACCTGGTTACTATAAGTAAAACTACGCACGATTACGAAGTGAACGCTTATATCATGCAGCGACTGCCTCACTCTAGCTTGGCAATATCAGCTCTTCGTCCAAAGTTTAGAGAGACCGTCAGAGATGTGACTTGTTACCAGTTCTATTCATTTTCTGTCTCCAATTTGCAATTGAATGTTTACAAAGTCTGTGGAAGACGATTACTATTGCTTTTGTTGGCAATATTGTTTTCACAGATAATTGCCCAGCATGACTGCAATGACAGTGAAGCTCTTGATGCGTTGAATACATACGTCTACAAAGCAAGTGGGCAAAACTGAAATGGATGGGCGATGATAGCGATCAAGTAAAGAAGCTTTCGCACTATAGAAGGTTGTCATCAAACCATCAGCGATCATGAGCAAAATCAGCAGGCGTCGCCATGGCACAAAGAGCTTTGGAAAATGCGAGCATTTCTTACGGGTAAGAGTGCAGCAGTTTTTTTTGAAATTCGATTCACCTATGTCATAATTCCAACGCTTTATATGGCTCTGAGACTTGGATCAACCGAAAACTCTAGACCTCTTTGATGTTCAGAAAATGGAATCGGTGCTTGGCTTTCTTCTGCAAGACCAAAAATTTTCACAATGAATTCGGTCCATTACGAAGCTATAGCACTAAAACGATGGACACCACCCACCAGCCGGCATTTCGGGAAAGAAAAGCAAAACGCTATGGGAAGACGACATAGGAGGAATTGTGGTGACGCTCAACCATTAAATGTGAATGAACAGAGAAAAGCAAGAATTCACGCTTATGGAGACGACTCAAACATACATATGCAGTTCGAATCCTAGCTAACTGAAAGATTAAATGCAATAATCAAGATATTTCTCATATGTATTGCGATAAACCACTGAAAGTTGATGGAATAAGATAAAATATGGTAAGTGAGTGAGGGACAATAACGGTACAGCTGTTCGATCGATGGCACTGCTTTTTTGAATGCACACTTTTTTGAGTCAAATTGATTTAAGACTCTACTACAAAGCTGCTCTGATCTAGCTTTTGCGCTATAAGCTGCGCAGTAAGATGCATGAGAAGGAAGGTAAGGAAAATTTTAAAAAACAATAAAGTGTTTGCTAGCCGAAGGCTCTAATTCTTCAGCAAGACTCCACAGTGGACCTAATTCACAAAAATGTACGTGCTTTTCTTTCCATTCTTATGAGTAATTTTTTGCACACTTCTCGCGCATGATGCGCACTAAGATACCAAATTTAATGGCGTGACCTACTAGTTAGGAAAAACAGGTTGCTTGAAAATGCATATCCAAATTTCGCGCTCGCATCGTGCATTAGGTAGCTTTTACCTCTACATTGAACAAGCTGTTAGGCGATGTTCGTCACTGGTCAAACGAGTAGTGGAAGCATTTAGTGAAATATTGCGCAAAGCAGAAAATTTCTTGTCTTGGACGACCTAGATGACGAACATTTTGTCCTATACTTTTTCTTTCAAAAACCAAATTCATCCTGACCTCTCTCTGGAAATCTAATTGCTCTTTAGATTAGAGACGTTAAAACGTAAGATCAGGATTCCTTGCATGACAAATAATTGAGTTCTTCATTTGGTTTTTTTCGTCATTTTCCCCAAATATTTCTTGATTGGAAAACTTCGTTACGAAATTGCGGACCGACTTCTAATAGTTCATAACATAGCTCTACACATTTGGGACTTCAAAGAACAGTGCTACATTTTGATGTTTTACTATATAGTTCCAAACTACTTCAATAACATTTTACCAAAGTTCAAGAGACTTAAAGGAACATGTGGATCGTAGATGCTTGAAAAAGTTTACAATTGACTTTCAAAGAACAAAAAGACTTTCATTTGAATATATCTTCCTCGCCTATATCTTCGCATTACCCTAAATGAACA